TATCCAAACAAATTGTTGGTGATGTCCTCTTTCATATCAAAAAGAAAGGGAAATTGAGGGAAATTTGGGTAAAGCGGCAGCGCACATGACAGCGTACATGACTGCCCCTAAGAGCTGTGAATGACAAATAAGCGAATGTAGTCTGGTTCATTGACCTGGATAGAGCAGTGTTTTGATGAATCCAAAATACCTGAGTTAGGTAACCAGACGAAAAACGAAACGGCTTGATTCTACAAAGTGGTTGTCTTTTTCTAAACTCGGGTTAGAAATTTGAAGTTTTCTTGCTTAAATATTGTCAACATTTACCTAAACTAGGCCTGTCAGGATTGAGTAATAGTTCCTTAAGGTCAAAATGTTAGTTAGTTTGAGAAGGTCGACTTTGTTTCCTCATTATAGGAACAGTATGCTAATGGTAAGGAACCCCATTTTTTGGGCAAGTTAAATTTGAATAAAATCTGGTACACTGAATTCTTTAGATTCACCTGAGCATAATTTGAATTCTCCATACTAAAGACACTGTTGCCGTGACATTCACTTTGAATGCAATTACAAGTCTTCAGACCAGTCTCAGAGGGTTTGTGCAAGTGCGGTTACATTCCGTCCATTATGGACTTCTTTCTTGCCCCTTTTCTTAGTTGTCAGGCATGCAACTTTTCCTCAGATCAGCTGATTTCCTTATTTCTCACTTCACACCCGTGCCATTGAAAATTGAAATTACTGGACAAAGTCATAAAGATTTGAAGCTCTGCATTTCTTGTCGATGTCCAAGTTGCCTGCCTTGGTTATGGACAGTGATATGTATGGAGAGAGCTTGTAATGTTTTTCAGTCGTATAGAAAAAAGTAGAGTTGTGCCACTGATTTTGTCGTCAATTTTGCTAATTTTTTAAAGAGGCCAAAAAATGTAAGAAATGTCCAGGGAAACCTTCAGTTTGGGGTATTAACAGTTTGGATATCTTGCTTCATAGCACTCTGGTTTTGAGAAAAAAATCAATTTTGAGTTCCAGTAAACATGTTTGGCATGCACTTGGTAGTTTTTCTCCTCTTTATAAACCAATAAACTCTTGCTAGTACAAGTCTGGCTATTAAATCAACAAGTACGAGCTAGGAACAAGATTACATGTTCACTAAGGTGAGGTAACCTTTTTTGCAGCTGTGAGCATGTACAAGATCTCCAGGCCAGATTGTGAAGGTCTTCAGGGCAGATAAGGCATCTCCAGGAGGAGCAATGTCCAGAAAAAGTTTTTGGCATTTCACCACGAAATATTAGATTTTTCTTGCTCCAAAACTCAGCCAGTTATACCATTGAGGCATTTATTGCTTAGTTTTTGGGCTTCGTCTGGATCTTAGAATATTTATAGAGAAATCAAAACTTACAGTGCCTCTAGCAGTGCTTAAATCGCGCCTTTTCATTTTCTGTTGCCAACCCTGTTTTACTGTTTTCATTGCGGGTGTGCCCCAGGTGGTATTTTTTTCTTGGAAGAGAGAGAGGTCATGAAACGCAGTTGATTTGGTCTGTTTCATTTTTCTTTCAAAAGCTCTTCATTTTTTGAAATTGAACGTTGCTTTTCTTTTTCTACAGGTGATACATCATTCAAAGAGAAGGAAGCAGGCAAGGAGTCAACCAAGCCAGCAAGCAAGGCTTTGGTCACTCAAGGTAAACTAACCCTCTCTTTCAGCCGTGAGCGCTCAAATTGAGCCAGTGACCACAAGACCCAG